TTTGGCAAAATGTAAGAAAAGTTATCACTCACATTTTAAAATTTGACAATATTTTGACTCATATTAGTAGGTGGAAGCCTCTAGGGAAAAGTCGTTTACTCTTGTTTTCAGTATAATTAATTCTAGGTGAAAGAAGTCAATTGACCATTCCACAAAAAAAGCCACAAAATAGCCAGAGATGAAGTGCACCTTTTTCTATTATTACAAAAATGCCATTTTAATCGTAAAAAAAATTACAGAGTTTGAGAGAGGAAAAATTTCCCAAAATATGAATAAAAAAGTGTGGAATTTCAATATATTTTGCCCATAATTAGAAGTTAACTACCGTCATTATCAGGCTTTGAAATCATATACTTTGACATTACCAAGCATTAATTTGAAAGTGTTGATGACATATAATTGACACTGTTACTATTATATGTCAATATTTACACATACTACCTCCGTCCCTTAAAATTTTGACATCTTTCCTCTTTGAAACGTTTTAAAAAAAATTGCCACTTCTCATTTTAATCAATTATTTTGTGGTTGTTATTTCTCTCTCCTCTGCACAAATCTCAATCACATAATTTTTACTTTATTATTCTTTGTGCGGTTCAAACTAGAATAAGTTTTAAGGAACGAATGTAGTATGAGGTAAGAAAGAGATATTACTCATTTCCTAAAATTTGAATTTATTTTTACTCTTATTGGTGGTGGAAGAGACAATTTGTACCGATAAATGGTGGTGGAAGCATACGAGGAAAAGTCACTCAATGTTGTTTTGAACATGAACGGTACGTGCTAAATAAAGATATAAAAAAATAAACATAGAAATTCCTCTTCTAGGTGAAGAAGAGAATTGACCGTTCTATATCTCTTGGCTTGGCTTCAATTTTATAGCTGTTTTGTCGATTAGTAGAGCCAACAGTAATAACACTGCGCATATGGGCTGCAAATGAATGGGACGAGACTCACGGGACTCTGGACTGGTGCGGCCCACAATTTAATATTTTATCTAATGATGGGCCATCGGCCTTTCGTGTCGTAGTACCTCCAAAGCTCATTAATCACTAGTGAGCTACTCCCAAACGCAAGTAATAAATTATACTTGAAAATTAATAAATTTATAAATGAATAGATTTTAGCTATGCTCATTAATTAACAACAAAAAACAACACGTCTTAGGTAGGTTTTTTGCCACGTTTGGATCCTTTAATAATGTTATAATAAATTAATGTAAAGTAGTAATAGTTTTGTGTATGTACTCCTTGGAACATGTATGATTCTAATATTTATACTAGGGCCAGAAGTAGTTCATATTATTAAGTTTCTAGAATTTTTTAAACATTTTTTATTTTAAAATTTCTTATAGTTTCATATAAGCCAAATTTTGAAAAATAAACATAGCACATGCATATTCAAACACCACACCATGTATAAAATGGGTCTTGTTTAAAAAAATAATTTATTACCCGTATATTGTTATAAAAGGAAATCATTTTTCAATTTGTGAAGGAAAACTGCTTCTCCGTTTACATCCTTATTTTTTACGTAGTAATATTAAAAAATTCATACTATTGATTATAAAAATATTGTTACTTCATCATATCATTGTATCTACAAAAAATAACACTATTCGCTTTCCGAGACAGACCCTTAACCAACACCTAGAATCCGATGTGTCGCATTAATGATTGAAAATTATTTATCCCTTTAACTTTTCATTAGCACTAAGTACAATCTTTTAATCAATGCATTTATCAAACAAATTATGGGAATTTTTTTTTATACTATTAATTCTTACTACTAACGTTCTTTGTTTTTTATTAACACTTTAACAAGTTTGAGTGATGATAGAATTTAGTAAGAGTTTGAGCATTCACACTTTAAGGAGTTCGAGTGGTGATATAATTACGTACTGCGTGTAATAGTGACTCAAAATTAGACTTACAATTGAGTAACTGTCCTAAAAGTTCGATCAAAACGCGAAACAAAATTCAAATATGTTAAAAGGTTGGTACTTAAGACATAGTATAATGCTGTAGAACAACAACTACCAACATTAAACAAAATAACTAAAGGAAAATGTCATTTGTATGGTATCACATCTAACTCATTTGTATCACATGCAATTCTAATCGTATGGAAGTTGTTGGAAATTTTATACTGAAGAAAATGAAAATGTCATTTGTTTGTACACACTTTTTTATTCACATTTTATTGGTATCACTGTATCATATGTAACCTATTTGTATCAAGACGATTCATTTGAAAGTTGTCAAAAAATTTAATATTGAAAAAATGTATAAAACGTGCATAAGAAAGTGTACAGACTACACTTTATAAGAAATTAGAAAGTGTACTTTCAAAAAAAAAAAGAAATTAGAAACTATTTTCTAATAACATTTTCTAAGAAACTATTCAAACTAATAACATGTCTTAAATAAAATTATAAGAAAAGCATGCATATACCTGACAAAGGGAGATGAAAAGATGGTCATGAAACCTTGAAGTGCCAACCCCAATATGGGGCTTCTCATCACCAAAGACTTGTTTGAGAGCACTATGCTTCACAAGAAGGCCAGAATCTGCAGAAACAAAGCCACTAAAGAAATTACCCTTTCCAATGACTTGCAGTTCTGTCCCCTTTACCTCATCAACCCCTAAATATTCCCTCAGAAACCCTTCCACCATCACTCTTGGAACACTCGTGAACACCATCTTCCTCCCACATGAAGCCAAAACCTCATACACATGCATGTTCAGGTTTTCAAGGTAAAACTTTGGCAGAACCGCCCTTCCCACCATCTCCATGTCCTTCACCCTCAGACCACAGAATGTTATGAAGATCATCACCCTGACCTTCACCTCATAATCCAACAGCCCCAGAAAAGGGGATGACAGGAGCAGAATGAAGGCTCTGAATATGCTCCCACCTTCAAAAGCCACCAGCATGAAGAATGGGAACAAAGACTTGGTCCTCAAGAGGGTGCCCTGAATGTCACACACAAAAGACTTCTCAGAGTTGTTGTTTTGACTAAAGTTCCCATTTTTTGTGAGGCTGGGGTATAAAGAAGACTGGTTGGGGTATTTGGAAGGTGGGTTTTTGTGGAAGAAGGAGGTGGTGGAGTTCTTGAGGTTTATTGCAGCTCTATAGCATGAGTTTGCCAGAAGCCTGTACAGCAACCATTCTGTAAGCCAGCTGAGAATCACCATTGGGAAAACCATACCACTTTTCATTCCAAGTGCTTTGCTATATATATGGGATCTAATTTGCTGCTCTCTTTCTACTGGGATTGATGATCCAGCTCAGAATAGAAAATTAAAGACAGAGATAAGGGGAAAGATCAGAAAAGGGTATGGACTTTAATTGGGGAGGGGGATGGGGGGGCTCATCAAGATGAACTTAGGATTAAGGGAACAGCTGCAAGCAGTGGGTGGCTATTTATAGTGCTCTGTATCCAATAAAAAGAGATGGAAAAGAAGTTTTGAGAAGCGTACAAGTTAAAACAGCAACGGTGGAAACTGGAAAAGTCATTAATGCAATTTCTTACTCCGCGTGTTGTTGAGCAATCTCGTTGTGGTTGATCATTCAAACGGGAAAAGTTTATTGGCTACCAAGTTGCATCTTGAAAGAGACTTAAATGTATACTAGTAAAGTAGTAATACTACTAGGGGGAATAACTTTTAAATTATGTTTTCAAAATTGTTTCAAAGAACCAAATTCATATGACTACACAACGAAAAGGTTGTGTCAAACCAAATACTAAGTTTATGAAACCACTCCAACTACTTGGTAACTCATGGTTTGGTAATTGGTTATTTGACTCCATAAAAGCACCCAAAGAGTAAATGGTCAAACCTAGATAAAAGGATAAAATAATAAAGTAAAAAGTCAGTGAATTTAATTTAAATGGTCTAATATCTCCTCCGTCTCATAATTATTTTTATATTGTCCGTCCCAAAATTATCCTCTTTTTCTCGATTCGACAAAGAACTTATGATTCACATTTCTTACACACTCTTACACATTTGTATCTCATGTGCACAACTCTCTACCACACAATATCTATTATCTTAAATTGTGTGCCAATTGTACTTTAAGAGATCAATATGAGACAAAGGAGGTACAATTTTACATGGTGTTTTCAATTTTATAAAAAAAAACAAATCATATTTACACATTGTCTATATAATATAGAGTACTACTTCTTCGTCTCATTTTTTTTTTTGTTTTTTTTTTGTTTTTTTTTTACTCCAGGGGGCATCTGGAGGCCTGTAGTAATAACGGCTGAGACTCACTCAATTGAGTTTCGAACCTGAGACTTCCCATAAGGAGAGTAAGTTGGCGACCAGCTGAGCTAGACCGCTCCCTCTAGTCTTATTTTATCTATCTTATTACTTTCATTTCTTTTTTGGAAAGAAATACGCAATCTATATTATTTTACTTTATTATACTTAGGTTTCCATCACAAATTTTTTCGAACAATTTATTATTAATTGCGTCAAATCAAAATAAGACGACAAAATTGGGATAGAAATGGTATTTGTTTTCAGCAAATATTAATTTCATCATTCATTATGCGTGCAACCAAGTCAATTGACCAGTACTAATAATATTACCGGGGGCTAAGTTTAAATAATGTTAACTTCATTGAGCTCGTTGCACTTGAATCTTGAGGTTTCCGTTTACAAATTACGATTGACCGAGCAAAAGTAAATTTGTACTCGACATATAATAGTTTAATGTTTGTAATTAAAATTTACACATGCAAAGTTTTTGTAACGCGTTCAAAACAAACATATCAGTACTCAATTAAATGTTTACCTACTCGCTTACAATACTTTCAGGCAGCTCAATAAAGTAAAACACCCCGCTTAGCTAGAACATGAGTAGCGTGGTTGCAGACCGTTTACAAAAACAGAGACTAAACTCACTCTTAATTTTCAAAAGACTTTGAATATCCTTCAACAACAAATCAATATAAAATCCGTCTTGCAACCCTCCCACCCCATTAACAACCACAAGTGCATCTGATTCAAATTCCACACAATCCCACCCTTCTTCCAAAGCAACCATCATTGCAGCTTTAGTCCCCAAAGCTTTCGACTCTGACGGACTCAAAACTCCATTCATGGATCTAATGGCAGCCTTAAGGCACGTCCTTTGATCTGTATGAGCAACCCAGCTCTAAGCATTAATTCATCCCGCCTCATGCAGTGCTGCATATATATCAACTTTTATAGCCCCTACTCGATGCTTCTGTCATTTATCCAACCCCTTGTTAGTAGTTGTTACTCCTTGAACCTGCATCTCAATGTATCCCATGGACTAAACACTACAAAAAACACCCAAACAGAGACGGAAAATTAGGGACGGAAAAATCCGCCTCAAAATACCAACCGATTCAGTGATGGATTTATCGACGGGCCATCTCAAAACCGCTGGTCTACCGTCACAAATATGGGGTTTTTATAACCGTCTCAAATCCGTCCCTAAACCGTCTCTATCCTATCCGCCGGTTCTTTTCCATCCCTAACCCGTCCATTATATTGAAAACTTTTTATCTTTTATATTTGTTATATCTGTTATCTTTTATACATCAGTATAGAGTGCGAGATTAGACTATCAAACTGGCAATTTCTTCAAAATATTCCGAACAGATAGAAGCTGGATGTATGAAAGACACGAGCCATTCACTAAAAAAGTTTATGATGTATTTATTAGTGGTGTAAAGAGCTTTGTTGAAGTTGCTAGTGTTCAACATGAGTTTATGAGTGAAGAAGAAATCTGTTGTCCATGTCCCAAATGCAAAAGTCGACGTTTCAATGATATAGAAACTGTCAAATTTCATTTATATCAATATGGTTTTGTTGCAGATTATCATATTTGGAATTGTCATGGCGAATTACTACAATTCCAAGCACCACAATTTGTGCAGTGGAACCGCAGATTCCTAGTCATGGAGATGAAACTGAAGATGTCCATATATCTTCAGTTCCTTAAAGTCATGATGAAATGCCATGAGGTCAAAGAATGCTATGAGATATATTTGGAGGATACGTGCAGCCCCCAAACACCACAAACTCCACTGCAGAAATATCAGGTGTGAATTATAATCATGAATCAGTAGATGTAAATGAGGTATCATATTTGGGTAATCAATTTCAGAATATTCTACAAGCATTAGATAAACCTTTATACGAAGGATGCCCAGAAGGGTCACAGTTACAATTTGTCACAGAGGTAATGAGCATAAAATCCGATTTTAATGTACCTCAGGAAGAAATAAATCGATGGTTGGATTTATTTGGACGCTACTTACCTCGTGACCACACAGTTCCGCGCAATTTTTATGAGACGAATAAACTTGTTTCCAAATTGGGTCTTCGCGTGATAAATATCGATGCTTGTCCTAATGGTTGTATGTTATTTTGGAAGGGGGGTAAGGAATTAATACAATGTTCATTTTGTGGCGAGAATAGTTATAAATTACTAGAGGACGAACAATGTCAAACCAAAAAACGAAAGTGGACTGTTGTTTCTGTATTATGATATCTGCCATTGACACCTAGACTGCAAAGGTTATATGAATCACACCAAACTGCCAAATCGATGAAGTGCATGCGACTCACGAGGCCACCGGGACATTGATGGGTCATCCTTCCGATAGTAAAGCTTGAAAGCACATTGACACGACCTATTTCAGCGGGTTTCAAACAAGCCCCTCGTGCCTGGTTTCATAGTTTCAGCGGGTTTCTGCATAGCCATGGGTTCTCACAGAGTCGGTCTGATTCCTCTATGTTTATTTATCGACTTGGTTCTCATCGCATATATATTCTTTTGTACGTTGATGACATTCTTATTACAGGTAGTTCTCCTTCTCTTGTTACATCTATTATTCTGTTACTCTCTTAGACTTTTGCCATGAAAGATCTGGGAGATATTCATTTCTTTTTGGGGATTCAAACTATTCGTACGCCTACAAGTATTTTTCATTCACAACAGAATTATATTTCTGACCTTTTGCGGTGTTTTCACCTTCATACAGTTGCCCCAGTCCGTACACCTCTCCCCACTCATTCTACTTTATCTCTAACTGATGGGGAATTACTTGTTGATGGTACTGAATATCGCAGTATTGTTGGTGCCTTACAATACTTGATTATTACTAAACCGGATATTACCTATGTTGTACACTTGGTCTCTTAGTTTATGCATGCTCCTCGCACTACTCACCTCTTAGCTGTGAAGCGTATTTACAGGTATTTGCAGGGCACTATTACTGAGGGCCTATGGTTGCGTAAGGGTGGCGATCCACAAAACGTGGAGGCCGCACGGAGGCTCCGATAAGGTATACCTTACCGGAAAGATTTCCTATATATATAGAATCAGGCTAGACTACTTCAGATATATTAAACCACTTTAGCTGCATTATTAGGTTAAGTTATACTTTTAACTGGTACCGGTGGACCGCTCAACTAATTAATTAAAATTTATACATAGAAGGTGCTAGAAGAATACATTTTGGATCATTTTTTTCCAAACTAACCACTAGAGGCAACTGGTACTGTTGTACAAGGTGTCCGTCCACCTAAGACGTAAGTGGAGACTGGAGAGGATAGTTTTGTAATGATTAGGAAAAGTTATATTTATCGATTCTTATATATGACTAGCTAATAAATTTAAATATATCTATATACTAGTATAACTAATTATTAATTGGAGAAAGAATGTACCATACTCAATATAGAGCGCCCAAATATAAACCATACATGATACATGCAAGCAGGGCCGGTCCTGACTCATTAGAGGCCCTGTGCAAAATTAATTAGGAGGCCTCATTCTTTAATAAAGAAAATATCACAATAAGAAAAGTAAACTCCATCTCGATGTACAAGTACATTAAAATAATCGACTTCACAATCCTAGCCTCCCATGTATGAATTGAATTTACAAACAGTTAAGAATTAAAATGCACTTGCTTCGTTGCTCGGTAATTAAAAACTAGTGGAGTAAAAACATCTTTTAGATCACAAGGATTCACAGCATCTGCCCAAACCCTCCATTTTGTGATACAGGAGATTGATTCCATCAATAAAGTTTTTTTTTTCAACCATATCTATTACAATTGAGATCATTATTTATTTTCTTTTGTAGTTTGGGTTATTTCTCCAAATCCCTCCAATATGTATGTCGATTAGGAACACATGGAAGACAAAAGAACTAGAAACAGAGTGCCTAAAAACCATAAGAAACCGTAGAGGCAAAAGACGTAAGTCTCTCCCTCTGTCCCGTGATTCCATGGCAGCTTCGTCATTCCGCAGGAGAGAAGTGGTTCAAAGAGGAGGTGATTGAGAGAAAGAGATCTAGTAGTTGATTAGTTGTTCCTTCTTTTAAAGAGTCGCTTTGTGGATTATAGAGAGTCTCGATCTTCCGCGTAGTGTTTCAAAAAGCTATGTAAATATTAATTTTTGGGTAATAGGCCTTACATATCTATTGAAAATTGGGGCCCTTCTTTCAGGTGAGGCCATGTTCACCCGCACCGGTTATACCCCTCACGGCCGGCCCTGCATGCAAGCTAGCACCATTAGTTTACAAATGAAGAAAATGCTTATTTTATTTTAGGAATCACTATTTCTTTTAATCATAATCTAAATAATTTTCTCCAGAGATTAGGTGTAGCCTTTTCCGAAAGTTCCTAAATGGTATAATTAATTTACCGCATAATTTTCTTGTCTTTGGTAAACACCACTTACATGTAGGGTAGGTCAGATTGTTGGTGACCGCTTAGGGTATGTCTTTCGTTGAATTAGTAACTCAAATACTGAACCGAAACATAATATTCCGTCTAATCTTTGTTGGGTAATCATTATTTCAGTCCATTTCAAACTGAATTGAAAAGAAAATCGTTAAACTCAACCGAAAGTGCTATGTCCATTCCTAAGAGCATCACCAATGCACTTCCAAATGTCAATTATATAAAATAATGTCTACCCACGTAAACTACACATCCAAAGAAATAAATAAAGGTTCTCCAATGCATAGAGTTATACGGAACATAAAAAGTATAAACATGGGCAGTTATTAATTCCCACTAGGCATTTATCAACCTTTTTCATTAACCGTAGGCTATTATATCGGGATTTTAAGCTATGTGATGCGTATTGATATCCATTTTGGCCAAGTCATGCTGTTAAACATGCTTTCGGAATTCTCACAGAAGGGTCGAAAGTGTTGCTTCCATATCAGCATGAAAGAACTCATAAAAGAATCTATTGGAGACAAATTACTATCACTCTTTTGAAAATTGATTACGTGTAAAATTTTTATCATGTCAAAAGAGGAGCATTGGAGATGCTCTAATATCGCGTAGTCATTTTGCTCTTTTTGTTTTGTAAAAAGGAATTATTGTTGATGTGAACTCGGAAAAAACAAGTAATTAATTCATTAAAATTAATTAAATAGTCAAGAAAACAGGAAATGAGAAGAAACAGAAAGTCAAAGCTTATGCAACGCACAATTTTCTTAAAACGTATTCGTTGGCTCCCACAGTTCTGGAGCGTTGCAACGATCGTTTCCCATGATATGATGGGAAACAAACAACCGTTTGAGCACACAACCGATCGTTTCGACAAACAGAAACAAAGCTAGAACACTAAGGAAGATTTCTGGAAACTTGAGGAGATTTAAGCTCAAAAATTACGTGAACATTGTGTAAGTTCGTGTATGAACGTTTGTTGTTGCAAAACACCTGCCAGCTAGATATATGGATAAATTTGTTGTGTGTTAACTGATCTTTAATGGACTTGAACGTTGTACATAATAATAGTGTAATTAATCCTTAATTAGGTTTCCATATTTATTTGTTTCCTAATGTACTCAGAACTCCTTTTATTATATATATGACATCTAGGCTACCACATGAGGTATGCCTTTCTATTATTCTCACATGGTATCAAGAGCCCTAGGTTTTTAATTTTTTTTTTCACGATGACTTCTTCTTCTGTCTCGGCCGCCGCTACCATTCCCGCTCCCAGCACCGCCGCTTCAACCACGCCGGCGTCCGATGCGCTGGTCTCGAGCGAAGCCCCTCCGGCAGGGTCCCTTACAACGTTGCAGCCGCCTGAAGTTCTCCACCCCACTCCGTCTGGAGGACTGGTTTCGGGCTCATCGGTAGACGATCAGTGGGTCCCGCCGATATTTACATGGACGCCTACGCCGCCAACAATTCGTCCACCACATGTTTTCACTCTTGAACCTCCGGCAGAATCGAGCACCACCGCGGCAGCACGTGCACGGTTTGGTGGGTCTACTTTATCGGGCACTCCGGGTCTCCTTATGCCTTATGCGATCGATCCCATAGGTCGGCGCCAACAAAATAATTCTATTCCTGTTTCGTTCTCTGCTTTGGCACAAGGTATGACTCTTGGATCCACAATCAATCAGATTGTTACCACTAAATTATTGAAGGTTGAAGATTACTTACCATGGCGCACTCAATTCGAGTCGTTCTTGGTAGCGAATGGTGTTTTAGGCATCCTTGATGGTTCCCTTCCGGTCCCGCCTCTAAATACCTATGATTTATATCAGGCTCCTATAATGAATCCTGAATATTATCATTGGTTAAAACTGGATCAAACTATTCGTGCCTGGTTATTTGCTACGCTCTCTCGCGAAGTTCTGATGGAAGTTCACACTCTTAAGAATTCTACCTCTATCTGGCAAAAGTTGGAATCCCGATTTATGGCGGCCAGTCTTGCTCGTTCCATGGAGCTCAAACATCAGTTATCACACACCAAAAAGAAGGCCAGTAGTCCATGGAAGAGTATGTCCGTGGAATTCAGACCATTGCGGACAATCTAGCATCCATTAATTCCCCGGTTTCTGATTCTGATCTTTTACATTATACACTCTATGGATTAGGATCGGGTTATGAATCGCTTGTTGGACCGCTAACACTCTTCCCTGAAGGACTTACTTTCGATAAGTTATGCACCAAGTTGGTTCATCAAGAGGCATGATTACAATACCAATAGTCTCTTGATTTATCAATTGGTGCCCCTGCCTTCTCGGCCCAACCGTCGTCTGAAGGAGCTCCAGCCGTAGCTCATGCTGCCGACCATCAGCAGCAATATCGTGGGGGGCGTGGAGGCCGCCGTGGACGCGGACGCGGGCGAGGCCGTGGACGTCATCAGCAGCAGCCACCGATTTATGGTCAGCCGCCACCAGGGTACGGCCAGCAACCTCCAGCGCCCGGACAACATTCCCAACAGTTCGGCCAGCGTCCTCCATTCCAGCAGCAGAATTCTTCCGGCCGAGGACAACAATACAACACTTTTATGGGTCAACCTGGTACAGTCTTTTGTAATTCAGTTGCATCATCGTTTTATACTCCTGCTCTATCTACTTTTTGTACTAACAATGTTTCTGCAAGATTCCCCTCTTTTGAGAATAATTTTGGTTCCGTACCACCACCCGTTGTCTGCCAAATCTGTCATTCTCCAGGTCATTCAGCTGTTTCGTGTCCGTCTCGTTTTTCACAATCTAATACTCCTACATTAGCTATTCCCACTGGTGAATCCACTCCCGCTATTTGGTATCCTGATTCCGGTGCTTCCGCTCACATGACCGCTAATGAAGGTATTTTGGTTAATAAATCTATTTCTTCTGGACCACTTTCTATTACAGTTGCAAATGGATCTACTTTACCAGTTATGACTATAGGTGACTTGCATCTGTCTACTCCGCCCCGATCTCTCCATTTAAAATCTGTTTATCATGTTCCTAATCTTAAATATAATTTACTATCCATTCAAAAATTATGTGCCGATAATAATTGTTTTGTGGTTTTTGATAAAAACTCTGTTTGTGTTAAGGACAAAATTTCGGGGAAGGTGCTTCTTCAAGCTTCCAGTAATGGAGGTGTTTATCCTATTTCTCTTTCAGCATGTTCACCGGTTGCTCTCATCTCACATGTTGCCTCTGGACCAGTCTGGCATCGTCGGTTGGGACACTGTGGCAGTCGTATTTTAGACCGTCTTAGGAAGTCTGGCAATATACTTAGTACTTCCCAGTTTTCCCATGATTGTATTTCTTGTCGCCTAGGAAAATCACAACGATTACCTTTTCAAGAAGTTTGGCATAAATCTACTGCTCCTTTATTTTTAATTCATTCTGATGTTTGGCAATCTCCAATTATGTCTACAAGTGGTTTTAGATATTATGTTTTATTTATTGATGATTTTTCTCGCTTTACTTTGCTTTATCCAATGCGCCGTAAAAGTGAAGTTGTGAGTCACTTTCGCAATTTTAAATTAATGGTGGAAAATTTATTCAATGCTAAAATTAAAATTTTTCAAAGTGATGGAGGGGGTGAGTTTGATAATCATGGTATGCGTGAAATTTTTCTTAACAATGGCATTTTGTTTAGGAATTCTTGTCCTGACACTCCTGAGCAAAATGGTATTGCTGAGCGAAAACATAAGCATTTACTTGAACTAACTCGCACTATGCTTCTTGAAGCAAAAATGCCAGCTAGTTTTTGGGTGGATGCAGTTTTTACCGCAACCTATATTATTAATCGTCTACCCACTCCAAATCTAAATGGGGCTTCTCCTTTTGAAAAATTATTTCACCATTCTCCTGACTTCTCTTTTATGCGTGTATTTGGCTGTGCTTGTTTTCCAAACTTTATTGCCACTTCTGCCAACAAATTATCTCCGCGGTCTATTTTATGTGTCTTTTTGGGATATGCCCCAGAGTACAAAGGTTATCGTTGCTTAGATCCTATTAGCGGCAAGATCTACATAAACCGGAATGTTCACTTTTATGAAGATATCTTTCCATATTCCGATCTTGTCTCCTCATCCCAAACTGCTGCACTACCACCATTATCACCGCCTAATACTGTCCGTTTTCATACCAGCTCTTTACCAAACTCCCTGCCAGCGCACATCACTTCGGCCGCACCCTCACCACATCAAATTTCCTCCCTACCTGGTTCTACTACTTCGGCCGACTCTCCATCCAACTGCCCAACCTCCTGCACCATCCCTTCACCTACTCAACCTCACACAGTTCCAACCCCAGCCAGCCCTCGCCCCTTTTCATCCGAGGACCTCTATGACCTTGACCTCCACCATCCTTCAGGTCGGCCACTGACCTCTGCTACCCTGACCTCTGCCAACTGCCCAACCCCGACCACAATCACCACGCCAACCTCTGTTCCACGCCAACTATGTGATGTGAAATATGAAAAAGTTACTCCTTATGTGATACTACGTATATCTTTCACGTTTATTTTTCTCCAATGATTGCATTATTACTCTATTCACTAGTCACATTTTTATAAACAAATTTTATTTTAATCATAAATGTGTAATTATTTCTTGCACTATTTGTTTAATTTTTTGCTAGTTTAGTTACACAATATTCTCAACTATCATTTATGAAATATTTTAATATATTCTTTCTAAATTCTAACTGTCTACTTTTTTTGTTTCTTTGATGTGTTAGACTCGTATTTAGATGACAAATTTTCTTGAATTTAATTGGTGTTGAGTTTAATCCAACACGATATAGTAAATATATGTATGAACACTCAGTTTTTACGTGGAAACCCGAAAGGGAGAAAACCACGGGACTTTTTAGGCTAATGTCCAAGCCCTCTCTTTCTCATTAGGACTCTCCTCACCATTACATTGTACAAGCTCCCATTAATGGAGTATTGAGCTAAGTCTAAAAGAATGAGGGAGGTGGAGCTAAAAAAGGATCCTTTACATGGAGGGAAAACCTCATATTTATAGGGGAAAGGGGAAGGGTGCTCTCCACCCTAATGGGCCAAATACGGGCCTACTGGGCCAAGGTGGGCCGGATGGCCAGAATGGGCCGAAACGGGCCTTACCGGACGGGCTCCGTACTATATCAAGTCTTGGGCTCCGGAACAGTAATAGGCCGGGATAATATATCCCAACACAAGTCCCCCAGTTTCTTGAGTAGTGAGCGCGCGAATCTGCCCGAGAAAGTATATTCTTGCCTGCGCTCTGCCTCTGTCTAGCTGGAACCTGTGTCTTCGAATAATCATAATATATGAGTGGATGTCCACACTCCTGAACGTAATCTACCCGTGAGGCACCCCCCTTCCCGACAGGGTCGGGCGAAGGGTGCTCCTCCACGGGCACACTCCCCCTGAATGCATCAGGCGGGAGTAAAGCACTCTGAGTTGAGCTTTCCAATCGGAGAAGCTTAAGGTCCATGCATCTACAAACCGACGTCGCGGTACTATCAAAACAGGATGCACGTGTGTATGTATCAATGTATGAGGTATGATGCATGAATGCATGTAATGTATGGGTGCAATGAATGAGAGAAGGAATGTGAGATGTGTTAGAAAGCGGTGGCTCTCATCGATAAACCGGGCATGTCAGCGCCGAGGGGCAGACGTGCTGCATAAGAGACGTTCGTCGCCATCCTGAAAGGGATGGGCGACCCTAACGTGAGCCAGACACGATGGCGCTGGGGCGCTGATCGTGCTGCATAAGAGACGTTCGTCGCCATCCTGGAAGGGATGGGCGACCCTAACGTGAGCCAGACACGATGGCGCTGGGGCGCTAATCATGCTGCATAAGAGACGTTCGTCGCCATCCTGGAAGGGATGGGCGACCCTAACGTGAACCAGACACGATGGCACTGGGGCGCTGATCGTGCTGCATAAGAGACGTTCGCCGCCATCCTGAAAGGGATGGGCGACCCTAACGTGAGCCAGACACGATGGCGCTGGGGCGCTGATCGTGCTGCATAAAGACGTTCATCGCCATCCTGAAAGGGATGGGCGACCCTAACGTGAGCCAGACACGATCGCGCTGGGGCGCTGATCGTGCTGCATAAGAGACGTTCGTCGCCATCCTGAAAGGGATGGACGACCCTATCGTGAGCCAGACACGATGGCGCTGGGGCGCTGATTGTGCTGCATAAGACGGTCGTCGCCATCCTGGAGGGAATGGGCGAGCCGAACCGTGAAGCCAGGTACGATGGCGCTGAGGGGCCGATCGCACTGCATAAGAGACGTTCGCCGCCATCCTGAAAGGGATGGGCGACCCTAACGTGAGCCAGACACGATGGCGCTGGGGCGCTGATCGTGCTGCATAAAGACGTTCATCGCCATCCTGGAGGGAATGGGGCGATCCGAACGTGGAAGAGACACGATGGCGCTGAGAAGCCGATCGTGCTGCACAAGACGGTCGTCGCCATCCTGGAGGGAATGGGCGAGCCGAACCGTGAGCCAGGGACGATAGCGCTGAGAGGCCGATCGCACTGCATAAGACGTTCGTCGCCATCCTGGAGGGAATGGGGCGATCCGAACGTGGAAGAGACACGATGGCGCTGAGTAGCCGATCGTGCTGCACAAGACGGTCGTCGCCATCCTGGAGGGAATGGGCGAGCCGAACCGTGAGCCAGGGACGATGGCGCTGAGGAGCCGATCGCACTGTATAAGACGTTTCGTCGCCATCCTGGAGGGAATGGGGCGATCCGAACGTGGAAGAGACACGATGGCGCTGAGAAGCCGATCGTGCTGCACAAGACGGTCGTCGCCATCCTGGAGGGAATGGGCGAGCCGAACCGTGAGCCAGGGACGATGGCGCTGAGGAGCCGATCGCACTGTATAAGACGTTTCGTCGCCATCCTGGAGGGAATGGGGCGATCCGAACGTGAAAGAGACACGATGGCGCTGAGAAGCCGATCGTGCTGCACAAGACGGTCGTCGCCATCCTGGAGGGAATGGACGAGCCGAACCGTGAGCCAGGTACGATGGCGCTGAGGAGCCGATCGCACTGCATAAGACGTTCGTCGCCATCCTGGAGGGAATGGGGCGATCCGAACGTGAAAGAGACACGATGGCGCTGAGAAGCCGATCGTGCTGCACAAGACGGTCGTCACCATCCTGGAGGGAATGGGCGAGCCGAACCGTGAAGCCAGGTACGATGGCGCTGAGGGGCCGATCGCACTGCATAAGACGTTCGTCGCCATCCTGGAGGGAATGGGGCGATCCGAACGTGAAAGAGACACGATGGCGCTGAGAAGCCGATCGTGCTGCACAAGACGGTCGTCGCCATCCTGGAGGGAATGGGCGAGCCGAACCGTGAAGCCAGGTACGATGGCGCTGAGGGGCCGATCATACTGCATAAGACGTTCGTCGCCATCCTGGAGGGAATGGGGCGATCCGAACGTGAAAGAGACACGATGGCGCTGAGAAGCCGATCGTGCTGCACAAGACGGTCGTCACCATCCTGGAGGGAATGGGCGAGCCGAACCGTGAAGCCAGGTACGATGGCGCTGAGGGGCCGATCGTACTGCATAAGACGGTCGTCGCCATCCTGGAGGGAGTGGGCGAGCCGAACCGTGAAGCTGGGTACGATGGCGCTGAGGGGCCGATCGTACTGCATAAGACGGTCGTCGCCATCCTGGAGGGAATGGGCGAGCCGAACCGTGAATCTGGACACGATGGCGCTGAAGGGCCGATCGTGATACAGAAAAATAGTGATGATCATCTCATGGCCCTCGGCCTGTCGGTGAGTGATAATCGTCTCGCGGCCCTCGGCCGTGCTGGTGATGTGTCAAGTCTCTCTCCTGATTGGCTGTGAGAAGCCGATCGTCTGCCAGGACTCCATCCGGGAAGGAATGGTGAGCCTGAAATAAATCTGGGCGATGTCCCTCCGTCTGATTTGGGGAGCTGGTATTCGTCGTCCACGGCAAAAGAAAGCCTGATGTTTAGCCGATCGTCGTCGGCCACTTCATTCTTCGTACTTAAGTTTTGTAATTATTCTTTACATATGTTTTCTAGTTGGTACTTCCCGGCCAATAGCGCCGAGGGATAAAATCATTCTTTGCTCCGTGCTCTTCTGGCATCTTTCTTTCTTTTTTTTTTTTTTTTTTTGGAGTCTTTTAGTCTTCGTTCGTCCTTGGTCCCTGGTCCTACCGGCGTCCCTACTTCGAGGAGACGTTCGGTGTCCGCCGACATCGCAAGGAGGAACAGGTTTATCTACATCGAGATTCCCCCTTTTTTTCGTTCGTCCGTGGTCCTTTTAGCCTTACCGACGTCTCTTGCTTCGAAGAGGACGTTCGGTACCCAAGGAACTCGCAGGGACGAACTGGTCTACCCTCACGGGTTCCCGTCTTTGTTATCCCACGTCCATCGATCCATGGTCATTTGTGGGATAAACAGGTTTATCTTGGCAAGGCTCCCTTGGTTCGTCTAGCCCCCTCCGCGTCTCTACTAACCTCTACATCGAGGGGCGTTCGTCTTCGGCGGTGGGAGAAGATCTGGCACGCCCGGGCAAGATTCCCTTCCACATAGGAGCTACCCTCCTCTTCTCCCCATCTTTTTTTTTTTTTTTTTTTTTTTTTTTTTGTTTGAGGGAGGCAATCTATATTCTTCGTTCGTCCTTGGTTCTTGGTCCTACCGGCGCTCTTGCTTCGAAGAGACGTTCGGTATCCGCGAAACTCGCAAGGAGGAACAGGTTTATCTACATCGAGATTCCCTAGCTCTTCTTTGTCCGTCCCTGGTCCGTGGTCCTACCGATCTTCCTACATCGAAGAAGACATTCGGTATCCAAGAAACTCGCAGGGATCACGGGATGTCACACATAATGGTGGTGGCATGGCGAACAAATATAATGACGAGGCGATGGAAATGCTGGTCGTCATGCGAAGGCGAAGGTCACCCCCCCTGAAGGGAGGGGTGAGCCCGATCGCTAACTCAAGAAGGTCGGCATTGGGAGCCGATATACAATGATCATAATGTCGCTGAGCAGTTGGTCCTGATAAGGAGATGACAATAATGTCCGATAAGGCCGATATATCCGAGCAAACGGCTCTCATCCACGCAGCGCGGGGATGAAACCGGTCTTCAAAAAGGTAAATATGTCGTGCCGAGAGGCCGAACATGATATGACAGTGTCGGCAGTGAGAGGCCGACCTGAAAGAATCAAGCAACGGCCCTCGTCCGCGAGGGGCAGGGACGAGGCCGGTCTTCAGAAGATAAGCACGCCGAGCCGAGAGGCCGGTCGTGGTATAATGGTGTCGGCAATGAGCGGGCGATCTGAGAAAATCAAGCAATGGCCCTCGTCCGCGAGGGCGGGGACGAGGCCGGTCTTCAAATATGATAATCACACCGGGCCGAGAGGCCGGTGGTGATATAACGATGTCGGCAACGGGAGACCGATCTGAAATCAAGCAACGGTCCTCATCCGCGCATCGCGGGGACGAGGCCGGTCTTCAAATAAGATAATCACGTCGTGCCGAGCGGCCGGTCGTGATATAATGATGTCGGCAATGATAGGCCGACCTGAAATCCGAGCAACGGTCCTCATCCGCGCAGTGCGGGGACAAGGCCGGTCTTTAAAAGATAAACACGCCGTGCCGAGAGGCCGGTCGTGCTATAATGATGTCGGCAATGATAGGCCGACCTGAAATCCGAGCAACGGTCCTCATCCGCGCAGTGCGGGGACAAGGCCGGTCTTTAAAAGATAAACACGCCGTGCCGAGAGGCCGGTCGTGCTATAATGATGTCGGCAATGAGAAGCCGATCAAAAATCCGAGCAACGGTCCTCATCCGCGCAGTGCGGGGACAAGGCCGGTCTTTAAAAGATAAACACGCCGTGCCGAGAGGCCGGTCGTGCTATAATGATGTCGGCAATGAGAAGCCGATCAAATGTACCTGTGTAACGGCTCTCATCCGCGCAGCGCGGGGATGATACCGGTCTTCAGGTGATAAATACGCCGTACCGTGGGGTCGGTCGTGATGTAAGGATGGTCCCACGACCCTCGGCCGTAGTGGTCTCCTCTAGGCCACCAGCTCCTGGGGTGGAGATGCTCGTATCACGGCTCTCAGCCGTGCTGGTTTCCTCTTGGCCCTCGGCCTCTGGATGATGGATGATCGTCTCACGGTTCCTCGCCGTGGCAGTTCCCTCTAGACCCTCGGCCTCTAGGTGTTCTTCCTAGGCCATCGGTCTCTGGGGTGGAGATGTTCATCCCACGGTTCTCAACCGTGGTGGTCTCCTCTTTAGCTGGCCCTGAACGTCTTCGAGACTCAGGCCCCGCGTCTTTTAATCATCTTACTCGAGCGCGTCGAGCAGCTCCAACTGCGCAATAAGCATGGTAACGGGCCGTGCGGCCCGACAATATGTATACATACATAGCCAGTCGTATGGCTTTCTCTCTATCATCCACGAATACCGGCCTATGGGCCATCGTGACCCTTGGCCCGGCTCATCATGCGGGGTTAATGGACGTAGCAGCTCGCGGCGGGGCCACTTAGCAGCCTGCCGAACGTCCCATAAATATGCTTACCGGTCTGTGAGTTTTCAAACTCAGACCCAAGTTGGTCGCACCGGCCCTCGGAAAAAGGAGGTTGAGCGCTTTGGTGCCTTCGGGCCCCATAGGCCGTGTCTGGCAATAATCACTTCGCGCCTAATGGCGTAGATTACATTGGGGTATGATCGTCGATCGGGCGCGTAGTGCCATGCGGACTAGCGCGCAATCCTCGAATTAAAATGCGTCGTCGGGGCATCGCCCTTCTGGAGACGCTCAGATCACTTAATCAAGCTGATCGAGGGTGGGCCAACAGGCCCACAAGAAATTAAATATTTAATAAAATGTTGGCTGAACCAACCACCACTAGAGCTTCGCTCCGCATTATTTAATTCGGGATATTTTATCCCTAATAAATAATAGCTGGTGATATAACAGGTAATAGTGATGATACTACCCTACCGAAGATCATTGAGATACGCTCCGTTCGCTAATTAAAGCCGATCAGGAGCGGGCCGACGGGCCCACAACAACCAGTCATTAAATTAAAATGACGGTGAAGTCTGATTATCACAAGAGCGTTTACTCACTTGAGCCATGCTCGACATTATTTAATTTCGGGATATTTTTATCCCTATTAAATAATGGTGATAAAAATACTAGCAATACTAATACCTTAATTATTATTTAAATAATCTAGCTTTTCAATGTACCAAGTTACCAACTTGAAAGTGAGTATATGTACTTAGCTTTGGGAGATAAGCCTCGGCCAGTAGGAAGTGTAAAGTCAGATTGCATCCTTTGTACCAATTTTGACTTGGTCAAGATGCTCCAATCCCTTCCCATCTGCCAATATGCCACCATTATCCAGAGGACGTGGCCTTCTTTAGACCAAAAGATTTTATGCGGAGTATGGATGTTTTTACTTGGACTGTAATTTGCTGGTCTGGTCTGGTCTGGTCTGATCTGGTCTGGTCTGGTCTGAACTGGTCTGGTCTGGTCTGGTAAGGTCTGGTTTCTTTGTATTTTTATAACTATCCAAGTCTGGTCTGGTCTGGTCTGGTCTGAACTGGTCTGGTCTGGTCTGGACTGGTCTGGTCTGGTCTGGTCTGGGACAAATTACAGTCCAAGTAAAAACATCCTATATCTTTTAGAAAGGGCAGGTGGGGCGCTATTCTACCGACCCAGGCACAGGCCGTTCGTGTCGGCCACTTCCCGCCGGTGGAGACGGCGGTCGCAGCAGAGCAAGGGCGGCCCGAAAGCTTATATCCGGCGGAAGCTCGACCGAACTACTGAACATACTTATTCTGAGCTCGAAAAACCACCATTAATGGCGGAATCATGAAGCTCTCCACCGGTATATCCCACAGGTCGCGTCGGCCGAGTCGGCCGAGTCATGGAAGCTCGAACGGCGATCGACCAGGTGGGGGAGTAATCAGCGGTTGACCGGCGATGACGACGGCGGTGTGGTGATGCTCTGGCGGCGGAGTTGCTCCGGTGAACAGGAGCGAGGCGCGAACCTGCGACCGTCGCCCAGTCACGCTGTAGATGACGAGCAGCTAGGAGAGCCCGGAACTGGTTTCCTCAGGTTGCTGGTCCACCGGACCGATCCACGTCCATAGTTGCCTTCCCCGACCAACAGAGCTTTGCACCGGAATTCCTCTTCTTCTCCGATCTAGAACTCCTCAGAATTCTTCTTTCCAGGATATCTTTTTCTTCTTTTTTGTTGAAATCGGTCCTTCTCATATGAAAAAACTCAAGAACGGTAGAACACACGAATCTTTTTGGACAGATTCCCACAGACGGCGCCAGTGTTGAGTTTAATCCAACACGATATAGTAAATATATGTATGAACACTCAGTTTTTACGTGGAAACCCGAAAGGGAGAAAACCACGGGACTTTTTAGGCTAATGTCCAAGCCCTCTCTTTCTCATTAGGACTCTCCTCACCATTACATTGTACAAGCTCCCATTAATGGAGTATTGAGCTAAGTCTAAAAGAATGAGGGAGGTGGAGCTAAAAAAGGATCCTTTACATGGAGGGAAAACCTCATATTTATAGGGGAAAGGGGAAGGGTGCTCTCCACCCTAATGGGCCAAATACGGGCCTACTGGGCCAAGGTGGGCCGGATGGCCAGAATGGGCCGAAACGGGCCTTTCGGACGGGCTCCGTACTATATCAAGTCTTGGGCTCCGGAACAGTAATAGGCCGGGATAATATATCCCAACAATTGGAAAAAAAATTATGACGAAATAATATTATAAACTTGTCCCTAAGCCTACTTTCCTTGTACTGTTCTGGGCCCCTAAAATATCATGACCGGGCCTATGGTGATGTTGGGATATTGGGTCCAGGCCCAATATCCCTAGGCCCAAAGCCGGGAAGAAGCAGCAAGCCCAAAGAACTCCCGAACGGCATTCGGGATAAAACTTATACTTGGAACATTCTGGGTAACGATTATGCCAAGGTATCAAGGCCCAAATATCGATCGGCGTTCGGGATACTTCAAGTAGAAATTGTCACCTATGGCGGGGTCCCACACACCGAACACCTTGCCCGAACGGGCAGTCAGCAAGTGGAGGCCGCATTTAATGCTGGATCATGACAGTTGCAAGTGGGGGCATGAGTGCTTACATGGCAGAGGCGATGGCCTACCAGATTCGACCACGTGTCCACCTTACCCATCCCCATCTTAGTATAAATATCCATGTTTAGATCATTGTAAGGGGTTAGCATTTTAATACTCAGAGCTTAGCAATAGATTTACATCTCCTATCCTTGTAATCTCATATCCATCTACCGTTCGGGTAGTCTCAGTGTAATCACATATTTATCGAATATCAGTAAGCTTCTGAGTTGAGCAAATATCTCACTGTTTTATATTTTATACACATTTTAATCCAACCCTACATACCTACAATATCCGAGGCTTGTGTTGGGCTTTCGGGTCTTCGGGTATAAACCTCAACATTGGCGCCGTCTGTGGGAAACGAACTAAAAGTTCAAGGAAAACAGCTGAGCTAAGCACCATTTTTTGAAATGGCTAGGCTTCATACCGCTACACCGAGTTCTGCATCCAGAGGACGAGGAGGCCACGGATCCTCTGAGGGATGGTCCAGGCAAGGACACGCCAGTGGCAGTGCCACCCGGGAGTTCGAGCAAATCATCCCCCAGGATGTGAGGATGAACCCTCAGTTGATGAGGGATATGGCGGAGGCCATGCAACGCATGGCGGACGAACAGGAACGGGGCTACACGGATGAAACTCATGAGCCACCATCCCCGTTGCGTCCCATGCCATCTTTTGACGAAGAGGAGGACGTCGAGACTACGATGGCCTCAGTTCATTCCGAGGAACGCCGCAGGAACCACTGGAGGGCCCATACCCCCAGACGAGGAGCACCAACCAGCCGAACCCCGTCCGCCCCTCGAAACGGACACAGGGAACCTACCCCCATGATAGATCCCGTTGGACAAAACTTCCAATATATCCAGAGGGATGGGGAACGCTTCATCCGGAGGAGGGCTAACATAGCTGCTCCTCCCCAGAACAGAGTACCGGAATGTGTGGATGCTCGGATACCACACACTCCCCGAACGGCCCAAGACGACGAAATGGCCGAAATGAGGAGACAGATGACTGAGCTCAGAGAGCAGGTCAATCGGGCGCCCCAACAAACCCCGCCAGCACGGGTTGGGATCACCTCTCCCTTTACTAGGGAAATCATGAACGCCGAAATCCTGAAGGACTGCCGTCCCTCGACCGGCTTAGCATACGATGGGGTGGGAGATCCCCACGTACACCTGAGGAGTTACCAGGGTGGCCTCATGCTATTGGGGGCCACCGACGCGGCAATATGCAGGCTGTTCTTCAGTACCCTTCGGGGACCAGCCCAGGAATGGTTCGGAACATTACAACCCGGGTCGATCGGGAGCTTTGCGGAGCTATCCACCTTGTTCTTGGCTCAGTTCGCCTCCAGCACAACCCCGAAATTACATTTCGGGTATCTAACCAGTGTGAGGCAAGGGCCTAGAGAATCAATCTCCGGATTCCTCACCAGGTGGAGGACCGAAACCCTGAAGGTGACCGGCATGACAGATGAGACGGCCATCCTTCTTTTCACCGATGCCCTTCAGACGGGGGATTTATACAGGGAGCTGAAGAGGAATCCGGGGACCAGCTACCCAGACATCCTGGAAAGGGCCAGGAACTATGCGGCCCTGGAAGAAGAGATCAGGATAAGGGACCGAACGGCCCCGCAACCTCCCACTTCAAGACTGGCAGAACGTCTGGGACCCACACCAGCGACTGCAGCACCTCATCGAAGGACTCCACGCTTCACCCCCCTGGTCATGTCTATAGCCGGTGTTTTCCATTTGGAACACAACGCTATTCCTCCCCCTACTGACACAAGGCCCGTGATGGGACCTACCCCGAGCTCTTACTGCAGATACCACCAGCGCAATGGGCACCTCACGAAGGATTGCCACGCCTTACATGTGGCAATTGAGGACCTGATCCAAAAGGGATACCTGAGGAAGTATGTCAGCACCAACCTGAACGGCCCTTCCCCCAACCAGCGCCCTCCCCGATCCAATAGCTGGAAGCGGGATGCCCAGCGGGATGCAGAGCCCAGTAATGATTCATACCTTCCCCCTATAGAAGAGGCTGAGGGGTCTGGGAATCCGGGAAAAAAGCCACGATTGGAGGTGAAAGTCATCTTTGGCGGGGGAGAGACCGGGGATACGGCCGCCGAACGTAAGAAATTTGAGCGCAGCCTCTATGTCGCCACTGTAGCTGCACCTCCCACAAAGAAGGGCCGCCTAGAGCCAATCACGTTCGGGGTGGCTGATTTACCCAACTCACCAAGTCCGCACAGGGACGAGCTAGTGGTGAGTATGTGTATAGACAACGCCTTGATCCACCGAGTTCTGGTGGACACGGGAAGTAGTGTGAACGTGCTGTATTTACGCACGTTGGAGAAGATGAAGCTAAAGAAGGACCAGCTGACCAAGCTGAAAACACCGCTGGCTAGCTTCACCGGCAATGTAATAGAGGCTGAGGGCACCATCCAGCTTCTGGTGGAAATTGGTGATGAAATTCACCGAGCGGCAGTCCGAATGACGTTTGTGGTGGTGGATATTGCATGTGCCCACAACGCCATTTTGGGCCGTCCGGGGCTAGAAGATTTGGAGGCAATTGCCTCTGTTCGACACTCATGCATCAAATTCCCGACTGACACTGGTGTAGGAGTGGCTCGAACAGATCCTGCCATAGCCCGAACGTGCTACCGGGAAGCTTTGAAACAAATGACCACCCGGGGACAGCGGGGTAAACAGCATTGAGGTACAGACCCGGCGTACGGAGTTCGAGGGACGCCCCGAGCCAGCCACCCTCCTAGAATACATCGAGCTTGATTCCCCTCCCGATCGTAAGATTGCGATCGGGGTGGACCTTGAAGGGGGAATCAGGGAGGGGGTGATCGCTGTCCTCAAGAGATTCCAGGTCCTATTTGCCCGAGGACCCGAAGATATGCCGGGAATTGATCCGGCCCTCATCTGCCACAAGTTGGCCGTTCGGCCTGATGCCAGGCCAGTCCAACAGAAGAAGAGATATCAGGCGGCCGAACGGCGGGAATTCACAAAGCAGGAGGTAGCCACCTTACTGAGAATCAGGCACATTAGACCAGTCATCCATGTCGAATGGTTGGCTAATGTGGTCCTTGCTCCAAAAGGATCTACTTGGAGAATGTGTGTGGACTACTCCGATCTGAACAAAGCCTGCCCCATGGACCCCTATCCGGTCCCACGAATAGACCTGCTGGTGGACGAAACGGCAGGATGTGAACTGCTGAGCTTTATGGATGCCTTCCGGGGTTATCACCAAATCTTCATGCACCCAGATGATGCAGAAAAAACTGCGTTCGTCACCTCGGACGGCGTGTTCTGTTATATCGTCATGCCGTTCGGGTTGAAGAATGCAATGGCCACTTTTCAAAGAATGATCGGCATACTCTTCAAAGAGGTACTGGGGGTAACCATGGAGGCATATGTGGATGACATCCTAATCAAGAGCAGGAAGAAGGAGGATCATGTCCGGGATATGGAAAGAGTCTTCGGGATCATGCAGAAGGCCAACATGAGACTGAATCCAAAAAAGTGCGCCTTCGCAGTCAAGGGGGGCAAATTTTTGGGTTATATGATGAGTGAGCGGGGAATTGAGCCTAATCCTGAGAAAGTGAAAGCAATCATGGACATGGAGGCACCGCGGAACTTGAAAGAAGTTCAGAAGTTGACTGGAAGATTAGCGGCTTTGAGCCGATTCATGGCTAAGCTGGCCGATCGTGCCATCCCATTTTTCCAAATAATGAAAAAGGCCAACCCGTTCGAATGGACAGCAGAATGTCAGGCAGCTTTTGAAGAGTTCAAATTGTACCTGTCTTCCCCCCTGGTCTTAGCTAAAGCAGACCCAGGGGAACATCTCTACATGTATCTGGCTGTGGCTGATCTGGCGGTCAGCTCTGTTTTGTTAAAGGAAGATGAGGGTGTCCAGCGCCCTATTTACTTTGTGAGCAAAGCCCTGAACGGGCCAGAAACCAGGTACACCCTAATGGAAAAAACCATTTTAGCATTGATTGCTACCATCAAGCGACTGGCGCCCTATTTCCAAGCACACCCAGTCACCATCTACACCACCCAGCCCCTGGCCACCATTCTGAGAAATCCCATGGCAAGTGGGCGTATCACCAAGTGGTCCCTCCTGATCGGGCAGTATGAAATAGACTTCAAGCCTCGCCCCACGATCAAGGGACAGGCTTTGGCTGACTTCATTGCCGAATGCACTGCCAGATCAACTGAAGAAGGAGCGGACGGAGGAGTACATGACCAGTGGTGGGAAATGTATGTGGATGGAGCATCCAGTAACAAAGGCTGTGGTGGGGGTGCTGTGATCACATGCCCCGAGGGATTCAAGGCATACTACTCCGTACAGTTTGACTTCAAGGTAACCAACAATGAGGCCGAGTATGAGGCCCTTATTGCTGGTTTAAAGTATGCCAAGGCCCTGGGGGCCAGCAGATTAAAGGTTCGTTCGGATAGTCAGCTGGTGGTAAGCCAGATTAATGGATCTGCCGAGGTTAGGGAAGAACGGCTAAAAGCCTACAAGGAACTGGTTGAGGAAGAAATCGGCAGGTTCGAACAGGTGGTGATTGACCAGATTCCCAGAATCGAAAACAGTGAGGCAGACATCCTATCCAAACTGGAATGCGCCGTTCGGGATGATCATGCCCCGGGCATCCCTGCACACATCCAGAAGTTCGCACAGAAAGAAATACTGACCACACCAGCAACAATGGTTGTGCGGGTAGATGCCGTGTCCTATGCCGTTCCAAGCTGGGTCACTGACTTGACAAATTACCTAAAGGACGGGACTTTGCCGAACGATAAAAATGACGTATACAACCTCACTTGTATACAAAGAAGGGCCCCAATGTTCGAACTAGTGGACGGACAGCTGTACAAAAAGACGTTCGGGGGGCCATATCTGAAATGCCTTCCACCCGATCAGGCAGCCGCTGTGATGGAAGAAATTCACGAAGGTATCTGCTCCAGCCATCAGGGGCCAAAAACCCTGGCTAGGAAAATCATCCTGCAGGGTTACTATTGGCCAACTATTCAGCAGGACTGTTTTGGGCACACAAAGAAGTGCAAAATATGTCAGCTCTACGCACCAGTACCTGGGCGGCCCGCGACCTTTTACACTCCAATGACCATATCATTACCGTTCGCTAGATGGGGGATCGACTTGCTAGGGCCCCTACCTACTGCGACCGGAGGAAGGAAGTACATCATAGTAGGGATTGACTACTTCACCAAATGGGTGGAAGCCGAACCCCTGGCCAGTATCACGGAGTTTCAATGTCAACGTTTTGTTTGGCAGAATATTATATGCAGATTCGGGCTGCCCGAGCAGGTCATCACGGATAATGGACGACAGTTTGTGAGCAAGAACTTCGAGGAATTCCTCACTAGATGGGGAATCAAGCATTCAAGGGCTTCCGTAGCATATCCGCAGGCGAACGGGCAGGTAGAGAACATGAACAGAACCATCATGGATGGTATAAAAAAGAAGCTCGAAGATTACGCATCAACCTGGCCCGAACAGTTAAACTACGTCTTGTGGACATACAGGACAACTCCCCGAACAGCAACCGGAGAGACACCGTTCGCCCTCTCTTATGGATTTCAGGCTAAGGTCCCAACTGAGGTCTTGGTGCCCACTCACAGAACCATCCACTATGATCCTGAGCAGAATGAGGACAATCTGCGTGTGGAACTCCACTTCATAGAAGAAAGAAGGGATCTCTCAGCTCTACGAATGGAGGAATATCACCGGGCAACTAAGAGGTATGTGGATAAACAGGCTAAAATCCGTTCGATCGAAGTCGGAGACCTTGTCCTGAGGAATAGAGAAAAAAGCAAACCGCTAGAGGGCGGGAAGATGTCAAAGAATTAGGAGGGACCATACAGAATCTGGAAAAAATACCGGACGGGGACCTTTTCACTACAGGATACCGAAGGCCGTCCGGCAGGGATATGGAACGCTACGCATTTGCGAAAATTTTATCAATAAAAAACGGCTGTTGCCACCTCTGAAAAAAAAAAAAAAAAAAAAAAAAAAAAAAAAAAAAGAGTGTTCGGGAAGCAAGTCATTCGGAAACAGATCAATCTTTATTCTTCGGCACTACTGACCGGGAATTATACATGAGAAAAAGAAAAGGAGATTACAACAGAGATAACTAAGCTACGGGAGGATCCTTGTTCGGCACGGCATCCGAGTCCGGGGGATTGGCTGAATCTTTAGCCTTCTGCCTCTTCTCCATCACCCGTTGATAAGCACGGCAGAATAAGGGGTCGAAACCTTCCTCCTTGGGGTCGAAGGGTTCATCGAATGATTCCTTGATCACTTCCAGATTCCGGTCGACCAGCATATCCTGGCACTTAACAAGTGTGTCCCTTGCTAGGGCATTGGCGAAGGCTGTCCCGGACGGGGTCTCATCCAGGAGCTGGAGGCCGTCACGAAGAGGATCCTTACTCTTCTTCAAGAACTCCCCAAGATGCTTCCCAAGGAACTCCCGGGCAGTCTCCTCCAGGGCTACGTTCAAACCTTTACCTCTTTGGAAATCAATCACTGCCTGCTGAGTGATTTTAGAAATATCGGCCTGAACGGGTGCTGCTGGCTGTCCGCCCTCTTTAGGCTGGGTCTTTTTAAACTTAACACCAGCAGCTTCGGCAGCAGCAATCTTGTCCTTCAGCGCCCGGATCTCCCGATCGCGACGCTGGAGCCTCTGCTCCAATTCGGCCAATTCAGCCCTGGCCTTGTCACCCTTGTTGGCCCGATCTTGGAGATCTGCAGCCATTTTCCTAGCAGCAGCCAAAAGGGTTTGGCTCTCGTCCAGCTCCTGATGAAGGAGGGTCATCTCCCGCTCAGCTGCTAGGAAGGCCCGGTGATAGTATGTACCGGCCTGTGGAAAAAGAAACAGCAGTAAGAACAAGTTCAAAAAAAAAAAAAAAAAAAAAAAAAAAAAATTATAAAAAGAAAGAACTGAACGGTCAAAAGCATACCTTAAGGGACTCAGCATGGCCTGCTTCGACCAAATCAGACCAATGGGTCAAGTTGGTGAAGCCCTCGCCAGCTTTCAAAGAAGTGCTGCACCACATGGAGGATGCAGTCTGCCCGAACAGCGTCCGGCATTCAGCTCGGGGACCCATGGCAGAAAACTCCACCGTCAACCGATCGGGGATCGGGAGACTACCTGAAGGTTTGCCTCCCCTATCGCCCAGCTTCCTTGAAGGGGAGGGGACCATGGGCATCCTTTCCACAGAAGGATCCGTCAGGTCAATAACCTGGTCAATCGGGACCAAGGCGCCGCTGCTTTCGATTCTCGGCCGCTTGTTTACTGGCCCAGATTCCCGGCCAGCCAAAGAACCTGACTGAATAGCCTTCTCCTTTCCCTTGCTAACTATGGCGGTGGAGGAAGGAGTAGGAGCAGGACGCTTTATGGAGACGGGGGGAATCACACCTACAGGAAAGAACAAAGAAAAATGAACAAGAGGTTGAAAGATACACCGAACGAACAAAGTAAGGGAAGAAACATACCAATGCCAGCAGCTAGCATCTTAGCAGGAGTCAAAAAGGACCGTAGGTTCTTGGAACCGGCCAGACGGAGCCTTTCGTACTGACAGACAATATCTGCGTCCACCTTTGGGGAGGCATCCTGAACGGGGTAGGTGTTCCACCGATCAGGAAAAGGAAGCGGCGACCCCACATGAACGAACAAAAATCGTTCCTCCCATTTCCCCGGCGGGGTGGGGTTGTCGGTGAAGAGCGAACGGCCAGGGCGGGCGACAAGCCGCAGGTACCCGGTGGTCCAATAGGGCTGGACGCCGTAGCAGTGCAAAAAGAGGTCGGCGCTAGGGGCAATCCCCAACTCATGGCACCAGACGATAAAACCGTTCAGGATCCTATAAGTGCTAGGCACGAACTGTGCTGGCAGTACTGAGACCCGGCGAAGGAACTCCGCAATAAAAGGGTGCAACGGGAACCGTAGACCGGCGATCAGCGCGTCCATGTGAACCAGCACACATCCCGGACGATGCCGCATGGGATGCTTAATATACCCCGCATAAAACTGACGGGGTGGCGGTAGTAATTGGCGGAGTGTCTGTTCTGCATCAGCAGGAAGGCGTTGACGTTGCTTCCTGATGCAGTGGAAGTTCAAACTATAACGGGGGGGCCGTTCAGGCATGCCCTTGTTATAGATGGCTAGGTCATCTCCCGACTGACATCCATCATCAGGGAGGGGCTGTTCGGGATGAAGTGAGGCAGAAGACCCGTTAGAACCCGACGATCGGGTAGATGTGCCTTGATCTTTGGGGTGAGCTTTTCCCCTCGAATGGCGAATCAGAGTGGACACCATCTCTTCGGAATCTGACGAACCAGAAAAGGCAGATATAAAATAACAGAGAAGATTCTAGAGAGAGAAAGCTTGAAGGAATTCAGAAGCAGCAGAAAAAACTGAAACAAAGTAGCTGCGTCCTTATATAAGGAAAAGCTACCGCCAGGAATTCGAATGAGTAATAGACACGTGTCAAGACGGTTGGGAGAAGTTAAAGCATCCTTTGGGGTGGGTGAACACCCGAACGGGATTGAAAAGCAAAGTTCACGAACCTCTACAATTGAAAAAGAAAAAGGCTACAAGTGTTTCCCCGAACGGGATACACCCAAATGTAATGAAGAATGATCGGTGTACCCGAACAGTATGGTTATTAACTAGTGAAAAAAAAAAAAAAAAAAAGAAAAAAAAAAAAAAAGAAAAAAAAAAAAAAAAAAAAAAAGAAAAAAAAAAAGGGGGGGGGGGGGGGGGGAAGAACAATGTTTCCAACGAGGCCAGAGTTAAAAGGAATATTGCGAGCCGAACGGTATCAACATGCCGAACGGCATCACCACAAGCTCGGCCAAAAGTCTCACCTTGATCTATAGATATCATTTATCTCGATCCATGGGGAGCCATCATCTCAGCACTAAAAAAAAAAAAAAAAAAAAAAAAAAGTGCAGGATACCAAGCCCGGACTCGGCTTGGGAGATGGTGTAAAAGATCTTGAGTAGGACGAACCGGGCGGCATCCGAAGTCATAGGGTGACCGAGCGGGGGATCGGGACTCTGGTCTTAAAATCTTGCCTTGGGCATACAGCTCGTCTGAACTTTATGGTGGTGGAACCCGAGCTGTATCCTGGAGGCGAGTCTCCATTTTGGCAGAGAATAAGGGGGAGACCCGAATTGGGAGCCTTATTCTCAACGGTCCAGGATGGACATCTCAACCTCATGATATGGATGACCCCGGACGGTAAAACCGACGGTATGCATCGAAATTATGGGCTTGGAAGATGGCAGACATTACACGAATTGTGAAATTGTCTTGCAGCAAGAGGTGATTGCCTTGCGAATAAAGAATACCGCGGAAGATAACCCGAACAGGTTACTCTAGCCTTCAGGGAACAACCAGTCGACGGTAATAAAACCGGACGGCATGCATCTGAAACATGGTGCTCGGGGACGCAGCAGGCGTTGAAGATTATGTCTTGCGCGTTCAGGAAACAAAGAACAACAGACGGAGATAAATCGAACAGCTCGCACCTCAACTTTGGTGTTAGGGAAGGGGTCGAACAGCTTACATCGCAATCATGAGGCTGAGATGAAAAAAAAAAAAAAAAAAAAAAAAAAAAAAACATAGTACCCAGTACAGGATGGTTGTACCCAGTACAGGAGTTTATACCCCGAACAGAGGAAGAAACATAGTTTATACTCCATAATGAACTATGAAGTTCATTATGAATGATATCGAATAAACAGGTCGATCAATATTAAAATCCTAAATTCTGGACTTAGCGAAGGGGTGACGCAAACCGGAGACCTGATCGCTTCAGATTACGGAGATCAACAAAGCAACATGAAACGTATTGCAGAGGCAAATTGATAAGTGAAAAACAAATATGAAGTCACAAAGACGAGATGAGCAGGCAAAAATTGTATATTCATCGGCTCTACTGGCCGGAAAGTACAAAAAACTACTGATTCAAAGGAAAGGAAATACAGATAATGTCTAATCTACTGTTCGGGATGATCTTCACCCTCTTCATCATCTTCTTCATCATCAGCTTCGTCAACAATCTGCACCACATCCATCCCCAGGGCTCGCCGGCACTTTTTCATCTGAGCCATCAGGGCGTTCAGATGATCGGGATGAAGATCAGCGGGAAAGTCAGAGGGTTGCACCGCTCGGCCCATATGTTTTTCTATGAGGGGGAGGAGGGGCTGAAGCATATGTTGACAACCTGAGCTGTAGACCCCGCGGGCGAAGTTTTCAGCCCACTCCTTGGTGACAGAATGCTGATCAAGCACCCTGATCCCCTCCTTCTGGCGCTCTTCTCCGGCCAGTTTCTCCAAGTGCCTCCCGAAAACAGCAGGGAGCTGTTCGGTGGCGTATTCTTCCTTGAGAGCCAGAAACTCCTCGGAAGCTTTGAATTGATCCCGAACGGCAGATAGATCAACTATCATTTCAGCCGGGCCGTCCGGGATTTGGGGAGGAGCCTCAGAAAACTTGACCTGAGCGGCCTCAGCTGCCGCAATTTTGGCCTGGAGAGAGCCCACTTGGACACGAAGCTCCCCGGCCTCAGCTCCTAGCTTCTTCCGCTCCTCGGCAAATGCTCGCCGTTCAGCTTCCACTGCCTGCTCAGCTGTTTCTTTGGCCATCAGCAGGCTTTGTTCTTTTGCCTGCCTGGCCTCTCTGAGTTTCAGGCTGTATATTCCCGCCTAATGATCAGAAAGTAAAATATAAGCACATGATAAGTTATCAAGCAAAGAAAAGAGTGAATTATGAGCATAAGATAATGAGCTACCTTCAGGACAGTCAGAGCAATACACTCCTCGGCCTCCTCCACCGGTATCGGGGGAAGATTGTGGCCATTGAAAAATCCTGACGTAGACCAGATCTGGCTCGCCGGACAGCCACCCCGCTCCAACATCTCATGAGCAGGATCGTAGAGGGAGATCCGCTCGAATTGACTAGCCAAGTCAGCCTGATGAGCAGTCACCTCCTCAGCAGAAAAATGGTGGGACTGTTGGTCAGAAAAAAGCTGATCCATCAGCGTATCAGCATGAGTTTGCTGATCAGGAGCAACCTGCTGCACAGGTTCTACATCCCGAACGGGTTCAGGCTGTTCGGGAAGGAGGGGGGCGGTTTGGGAGGATGTCCCCTGATCGGCTTTCCTAAGCCTCTTTCTCTTTGTCTTCCTCTGCTGCTTAGGAGGAGAGGTGGGTGGCTCGTCATCAAATCCAACAGTGAAAAGCCTGCTGTCATCCATGGCCGGGTGTTCGGGATTGGCTCCTTCGGAGTCTGAAGATTCGCCTTGCTTTAGAGCTGAAAAGATAACAAAGGAACAAATTAGTACCGAGCGGTTCACACGTGGATTTATAGTACTATCACACGGGAAGGACCGCCCGGGCCATGGTACTTGGTTTTCAGTCAAGTAAGTCCAGGAATACGGGCAGTACCTATCCCGGCCCTAATTAGCCGTTCGGGAGTCAGGTAAGACATGATTTTGAAGCAGCCTCCTGCCTCCACAGCAATGACATGTTGGCTAAGCTCCTCAGAGATGAATGGCTCGGGGGATTTAGGAGGAAATGCGTTCCACTTCCTAGGAATCAAACCGTTCGGGACAGAAACAAAGAAAAACCTATCTTTCCAACCCTTAATGGAAGAAGGGGCATCACAGAACAAAATATGTCCTGGACGGGAGCTTACCACCAGGAAGCCGTGGGACTGCTGGGGGATAACCAAAAAGAAATAGTGGAAAAGCTCTAGAGTGGGTGTGACCTCGACACTGTGACAACGACAAATGAAACCAGCTATCGACCGGTAGGAGTTCGGCATTATTTGGGCTGGTACTACATTGTAAAAATTTAAAAGGGAGACAAAAAAGGGGTGAAGTGGGAATCTAAGGCCGGCCTTGACTGAGTCGAAATGGACCACAACCATCCCTGGGAAATGGCGCATTGGGTGGAGACCCGATTGAAGGCGGAAGTCCACCGAATCAGGAATTAGCATCTGAATTTGGGCCCGATTCTGGGCCGTGAGCTTTTGGCGCCTAAACCTAATAAGAGCTAGGTCAAGCTTATGACAGGAAACGCCGCTTGGAGGGCCGGCTTCCATAACCTCCAATTCATCCCCCGACTTGGTGCCATCAGAATAAACATCGTAGGAAGAGGAATCATCGCCGTTAACCTCCGCCGGAATACGGACAACTTGCAGCGTATCATTGGGGTTTTCTTCTGGAATTACAGTGCCGGAGGTAGAGGGTTCAGATGAACGAAGGGGTGCCATTCTCACCGAACGAGGGAACTAAACAGTAGAAGGAAACTCGAAGGATACCTGAACAGAAGCTACGGATGAAGCTCTAGAGGATGAATTATAAGCCGGGGATGCAAAGTTTCGAAACCCAGAATCAAAACCAGAAGAGCCTATTTATACTCTGTCACGCCGATTCAGCTGCCAATCAGAAGAGGACACGTTTTTTGTAATGATGACAGAGACACGTGTCACACAGAGAATCCTTCTCAGGTAATCATGGCGTTTATCGGAGAAGTGAAACGACAGTTGCAAATAACCGTCAAAATATGCCTCGGGAACCGGCGGAATGCCATCCGATACTCACCCGAACAGCATTCGGGCAATAATCTTCTACTTCCTTATGCACTCACTACCGTTCGAGACATAGGAAGTGGGGGACTAGTGTTGGGATATTGGGTCCAGGCCCAATATCCCTAGGCCCAAAGCCGGGAAGAAGCAGCAAGCCCAAAGAACTCCCGAACGGCATTCGGGATAAAACTTATACTTGGAACATTCTGGGTAACGATTATGCCAAGGTATCAAGGCCCAAATATCGATCGGCGTTCGGGATACTTCAAGTAGAAATTGTCACCTATGGCGGGGTCCCACACACCGAACACCTTGCCCGAACGGGCAGTCAGCAAGTGGAGGCCGCATTTAATGCTGGATCATGACAGTTGCAAGTGGGGGCATGAGTGCTTACATGGCAGAGGCGATGGCCTACCAGATTCGACCACGTGTCCACCTTACCCATCCCCATCTTAGTATAAATATCCATGTTTAGATCATTGTAAGGGGTTAGCATTTTAATACTCAGAGCTTAGCAATAGATTTACATCTCCTATCCTTGTAATCTCATATCCATCTACCGTTCGGGTAGTCTCAGTGTAATCACATATTTATCGAATATCAGTAAGCTTCTGAGTTGAGCAAATATCTCACTGTTTTATATTTTATACACATTTTAATCCAACCCTACATACCTACAATATCCGAGGCTTGTGTTGGGCTTTCGGATCTTCGGGTATAATCTTCTACTTCCTTATGCACTCACTACCGTTCGAGACATAGGAAGTGGGGGACTAGTGTTGGGATATTGGGTCCAGGCCCAATATCCCTAGGCCCAAAGCCGGGAAGAAGCAGCAAGCCCAAAGAACTCCCGAACGGCATTCGGGATAAAACTTATACTTGGAACATTCTGGGTAACGATTATGCCAAGGTATCAAGGCCCAAATATCGATCGGCGTTCGGGATACTTCAAGTAGAAATTGTCACCTATGGCGGGGTCCCACACACCGAACACCTTGCCCGAACGGGCAGTCAGCAAGTGGAGGCCGCATTTAATGCTGGATCATGACAGTTGCAAGTGGGGGCATGAGTGCTTACATGGCAGAGGCGATGGCCTACCAGATTCGACCACGTGTCCACCTTACCCATCCCCATCTTAGTATAAATATCCATGTTTAGATCATTGTAAGGGGTTAGCATTTTAATACTCAGAGCTTAGCAATAGATTTACATCTCCTATCCTTGTAATCTCATATCCATCTACCGTTCGGGTAGTCTCAGTGTAATCACATATTTATCGAATATCAGTAAGCTTCTGAGTTGAGCAAATATCTCACTGTTTTATATTTTATACACATTTTAATCCAACCCTACATACCTACAATATCCGAGGCTTGTGTTGGGCTTTCGGATCTTCGGGTATAAACCTCAACAGGTGATATACATTCTTTCGGATTATATGAGAGTATGACTTTGGAGAAAGTAAAAGGATGACGAGTATTCATGTTGCAGATTGATCTCGAGCTTATCATCTTTTTTTTTTTATCTTCTATTTCTACCTTATAATGTTTATCCTTTGATCTTTATATATATATATATATATATATATACATATATATATTCTTTTTATCCTTTTTATCTTTTAATTTTTTTTATGTAGTTCTTATTTATTTTAAATATCTTTTTATCCTTTTTATTATACCTTATCTTTTTATTTTTATTATCTTTTTTTTTCCTTTTGATCATATATTGATTCATGTTAGTCGACCTAAATTTTTTTTGAGATGTTGTTGATCTTAATTGTTGTATACTCCGGACTTCAAGATGAAAGTGACGCGTTGGACACCGGACTTTCAGCCTAACGTGGAGTCGCCGATCGTCCCAGTCTGGATTACATTTGACGGTTTACCTATACATTTTCATGATAAGCGGGCCCTTTTCATGATAATCCTTCCAAGGTAATGATTCTGCATGGCAATAAAGAATTGTTACAAACGGTGACATATGAAGATATGCCAAAATATTGCACTAAATGTAGTAGACTAGGTCACGCCATTGATGAGTGTGGAGTACCTAGGATGCAGTTAGAAGCGGGAACAACACGTCCAAAGCGGCAGGAAAACAAGCCGCCCCAATAGAAAGCGCACCAGCAATGGATTCAGGTCATAAATAAAAATAAAAAAAAAGGGAAAGAGATAGTGATAGACAGTAGTAAGGAGGAACACACCAAGAATCCTAACAAAGCTTTGATCATTCGGGAGGGTGAGTCATCTCAAGTGAAGGGAAAGGAAGGGGCTGCTCAAATCCTGGAAAAGGTGACACCAACACTAGACAAGCCAATTGAGGTATTGGGAGGGGACATTGAGGCAGTGCTGGAAAAGAGAGCAGAACCTATTATACAGGGAGCAGTGCTTGAAGAGTTTGAGGCTGCAGGCCAGGATATGTTAGAGGCCGAAGAGACGGTTTTTCAAGAAATGGAGACAAATACCGACATAGGAAAAGATATCCCTACAGAGGAATGTGGAGCCTCAACTGATGTGACTAAACTAATATCTTTTGAAGAAGGTAATGAACAAGGGCAGGATCATATCATTATGGAAGGAGTAGTGTCGGATGGGGAACAAGCCATTATCGAAGATTCTACGATAGAGTCATGGAAAGCAGTATGTGCGGAGCTCAGCCACAAAGTAGATTTGATATAGAAGGAACAAGCAGAAGCTCTTGGAGTGGTCTTGTTTATGCCTGCCCAAGACTACGCTCACTTGTTAGGCAGCATTCGCTTAATTTTATTACTATCATTGAACCTATAATAAATTCTTCGAATGGAGGTTTTTATTCTAACAGTCTGGGTTTCTCAAATTATTATACCTCGGCATCCAATAAGATTTGGCTAATGTGGAATGCTTCGGACTTTGATGTGTTTTCAATTGAAGACAAGGGCCAATTTCTGGTAGTTACTATGAAGTTTATTCCACTGAATTTTGTTTTCACCTATTTCCCGGTTTATGGAAAGCATACAAGGGCGGAGAGGGAACAGCTTTGGGATGGGATGAGGGGTTTTGCAGGAGCGGTCGGGGGGCCGTGGATACTGGGAGGAGACTTTAACGTTATTGCTTCAATTTCTGATTATAAGGGGCCAGCTATATCTCGTATGGCTGATATGAGGGACTTCAGGGACTGTATTGAGTACTGCCAACTTATTCAGCCTTCTTATATTGGTTCTGCTTTTACTTGGACTGGGGTGCGGGCGAATGGACGTATATGGGAAAGATTGGATAGATTTTTGGTGGACCAGGATTTCTTAGATGGTTTTGACAATGTGAATGTTCATCACTTGAGTAAAGCGACCTCGGATCACTGTCCCATTCTTCTTATTTGTGAGACTCAAATGCCTAGGGGTCCGGCTCAGTTTAGATTTCAGAACATGTGGTTTACACATGGAGATTTTATTTCCTTCATCAATAAGAAATGGAATGATTACCCAAGGATCGGTGGTATGCGGGGGATGGCTTTGAAGTTGAAGGCTCTTAAGGCAGATTTAAAGGTCTGGAACAAAGATATATTTGGAGACGTCTTTAGAGATATTAAGAAGCTAGAGCTGGAATCACTAGAGGCGGAGAAGAATTTTGAGAATAACCCCTCGGAGGATAATAGGGCTAATTGTCATCTTAAACAAGCTTTGTTTCTCAAAAGAGTTAAACAGCGGGAGATCTATTGGAAACAGAAGGCTAGCATTAGATGGATTCGGGAAGGAGATGCTAATTCTAAATTCTTTCATGCTGCGGTGAAAGATAAAAGGCGTAAACAATTTATTCGTGCCATTAAAAATGCCAACGGGGAATGGGTGTATTCTGCAAATGAGATCGGGGAGGAAGCTGTGACTTATTATAAAAACCTGTTCCGTTTCGAGTCTACAGATGGCTATGATAAAATGCTTCGGTACATTCCCAGTATCGTGACGGAGGAACAAAATATAGGGCTAATTAAGTTGCCCAACGAAAAGGAAGTTAAAGAAGCGGTCTGGGGTCTAAGCGAGGAGGCAGCCCCGGGGCCGGATGGTTTTGGAGGTTCTTTTTATAAGGGATGTTGGGAAATTATTAAACAAGATGTTCTCTTAGCGGTCCAGGAATTTTTCTTGGGTGTGGCAGTACCAAAAGGCATTGGTAGTGTGAATATGGTCTCGATCCCTAAAAATAAGAATCCTACTCATTTTGGGGATTTCAGGCCGATCTGCCTTTCTACTTTTCTTAGTAAGGTGAATACTAGAATTGTTACTTCCAGAATGGCCTCTATTCTACCTCAGATTATTTCGATAGAACAGGCTGGTTTTATGAAGGGTAAAGAAATCCAATATCAATTTCTATCTGCCTTGGAGGTTCTTCACCACTTAGATAAGAAGGTTCGTGGATCTAATCTAGCTATTAAACTTGATATGGCGAAGGCCTTTGACAGGGTAGCTTGGGGGTTCCTTGATGCCATTATGGATAAGTTTGGTTTCTCGGAGCATATTCGAAGAATCATCATGGGCAATCTGAGGGCAACACACATTTCTATCTGTATAAATGGTGCCACATACGGTTACTTTCAGCCTCACCGAGGGGTTAAGCAGGGGCACCCGCTATCTCCTTTACTTTTCATTATCATGTCGGAGGCTTTTTCGAGTGGCCTAAACGATCTGATGATTAATGGTAAAGTTGGAGCTTTCAACATGGGAAGAGCATCCCCTTTTTCTCACCTAGCTTTCGCAGATGACATGCTCATTTTTCTTAATGGTTCAGTTAGATCTATTCGCAGTTTTAATAAGCTTATCCGAGATTATCAACAAGCTACTGGACAGCTTATAAATAAAGATAAGAGTTGTTTCGTGTCGGGAAAGCATACATCGGCAGGAAGATTGGCTAATTGTTGGTCCCGTTTAAGTTGGTAACAGTCTAGAGGGGGGTGAATAGACTGTTATAAGTTTTTCAACTTTTTTCTGAGTCAGAGTTGACTTATCAGAGAGGGTCGAGTTCTGATGATCAGAAGTGGTCTTGCAGCGGATAAGAGTTCTGGGTAGCCTCAAAAATACTAAGGCAAATGCCTTTCAGATAACTCTAGAACCGAGATCTGCTGAACACAGATTCCAGGTCTCAGAGTTAGACAGTTAAAATCCTAATTGCAGAAAGTAAATGCAGTAAAGTTAATGACACCGGGTTTTTTATAGTGGTTCAAGGAACAACGCGTTCCTCTAGTCCACTGTTCCACTAAGATTGTAAAGCATCAGTTACAAAGCCTTAGTCCCTAGCACTTAAGAAGTTCTTCACGCCTTCTTCAAGTCTAGTTGTCACCCGGGATGCAGTCCTGCTTCCTGATGACTGGTCCTTTCACTCAGCTTCCCGGAAGTATTACCACTTCACTACTGCAGTTACTTGGACGCCCTTCTTTGCAGAAGATGTTCTGAAAAACAGAGTTTTCTCCAACTTGCTTCGTTACAAAGGATGTGTAGTTGAAGTTCTTGAAGGTTGAAGAACAGGATGAACTTTGCTCTTGTTGGGGTTGAGGGATTTTGAGAGTTTGAATCTTCCCAATGTAAGCTTTTTCTTGTTGATGATTGAGGAGTTTTGAATCTCAAGAATGCTTGTAGTATGATGAGAGCAAAAGTTGTAGCAAAGTTGTCCGGTTGTTCTTCCTCGAGTATCTTTTATACTGGGAATTGTCTACCCGTTGGAGGAGGAGACAACTGCATTAAATGTGCGTACTGTGGAGTTGACCCACCAATTTGGAAGGTTTCTATTTTTATAATATATCCTCCAGATTCTTCGGTCAATCATTTGCAATTACTCCACAACGTATCAGGCTCATTTATTGTGCATTAAAAGCTTTCCTTTCATGCACAGTCTTCTAGCCGTTAGGGGATTCCCTGTTAATTTCACAGCCGTTGAAGGTAGCCTTGAAATTCTTCTAAGTGTTTATCCAGGCTGATGAGATTCTCTGATGGCATTCTGACCTTGGATTCTGATGAACTTGGATAGGGAACTCTGATACTTCTCTGGAGTTGAGTTCTGATGAAGCTTTTTCATCGAACTCTGATGGCTTTCTGATGTAGACTTCTGATGAGTCTCTGAAGAGCAACTCTGATTCTTCTCTGATGAGCAATTCTCATGACTTCCGAGAGCGACTCTGAAAGCATTTCTCATAGAGCAGCTCTGATCAGATCCACATAGCAACTCTGCTAGTCGACTATACTAATACTTACACTGAAAATTCTAATACATAAAATCTAAGTAGGGGTACTCTAAAACTCTAATCTAATTATCCTAGCATCATCAAAATCTAATTACATTTATTCCTTACACTAATATTAGACATGAATTGGGTATGAAGGCAACTACATTACCTTTTAAATACCTAGGAGTGCATATTCACAAAGGAGTTACTAGGATGGGTCATTGTAAAGATCTTCTGCAGGCTTTTGATAACAAGCTGAATTCGTGGGGTCAGAAAATGCTCTCTCAAGGTGGGAGGCTCATTTTGATCAAGCACGTTCTAGGCTCTATTCCTCTGCACATACTTGCGGTCACAGGTATCCCTCAGACTGTTAAAAGCATGTTAAATAAGAAAATTTCAAATTTCTTTTGGGGCTTCAAAGATAACAGGCCTAAACAACACTGGATCTCTTTCAAAAAAATGTGTCGGCCTACTGAATCAGGAGGGGTGGGAATAAGGTCTTTTGACCAATCTCAGCAAGTTTCAGCCTTAAAACTCTGGTGGGAGTTTCAGGTGGGACAGTCCAATTGGGCCTTTTTAATGAGGAATAAATATGGGAGAAGGACTTTGGGGGAAGCAAAATCGGTAGACTCCCCAACCTGGAAAACCATTTGCCAGATTAGTGTTAAGGCAGAGGCAATGGTGGACAGGGGAGATTCCTCCATCAAGTGGAAGCATACTTCTGAAGGGGTATTCTCTTCGAAGTCAGCATACAAGGCAATCACGCAGGAGGGAAGGGGAAATTTAACTTATACAAGCATTTGGCATCGAAAACAAGTGCCAAAAATAAAAGTGTTCTTATGGAGGCTTTGGCACAAGGGACTTCCCTTTCCCGGAACAAATTGCCAGATTCTATGTGGCATACCCATCTCGCTGTCCTCTCTGCAAATTAGACTTAGCTACTCAGGACCATGTGCTTCTTACTTGTCAGATAGCTCGCACAATTTGGAATTTTTATGATAGCTCACTGCAACTCAAAGGAAGGCAGATTAATCTTATTAAAGCTCAAATTTGCAAATGGTGGGTATCAGGGAGAGGAAAGTCACTGGATGATACTATATTGCTGTGATGCCTGGGGTAATTGCGTGGTTTATATGGAGAGCTTATTGGGATGCTATTTGGAAGGAAATGGACCCGGACCCTCAATTGATTATACAACAAATCCATAAATTTATGGTTAGTTGGTGCTATGCAAATGATAAGCTTAAAGGGTGTGGCAGGTTGAAAGAAGTTGGTTTAATACATGATTCCTTTGATCGGAGAAGGCCTTGGACATGGAGGTGGGTAAAACCTGCGGTCGGAAGCTGGAAGCTTAGCTGGGCGATTTTCAGACAGAATGGTAGATCCTCGGCCGGTTTCCTTCTTAGAGATCACTCAGGTGAAGCTGTGGCAGCGGAGGGCTTCCCCCTGAGTGGTTCGATGGCAAGCGAAGAGGAGCTGGTGGCGGTTTTCCGACAGGCTGTTGAATGGGGGGCGTCGTTTGGTTTCAGGCAGGTGGAAATGGAGATGTTTTATAAGAAGATAATGGGGTGGTGCAGTGCTTGGGCAGAAAAATATGCCTGGATTGTTAAAATTGAGCTGATCCCGGAAGTCTGCAATAAACCGGCCTGTGTAGTTGCAAAATTGGGTTGGAATGGACCATTTCGCTGGAGACCCCCGGACCCAGTACCAAATGCTGTACAAGGAGCCCTACACTTGGATGCTTTATCTTTACCATACATTTTATATTAAGTCTTTGGCTCATTTGTTTTCTTTTGTATTTGAGAGGATTGTATCCTTCTCTTCTTCCGTTGAATGGTTTTGGTCTGGTCCCCCATTCCATTTGTATCTTTTATTTTGTGTTGCTTAATAAAATCTGGTAAATGTCCCTCGGCATTTACCCCACCGATTTTGGTGGTTGACCTTCCGAGGTAAAAAAAAATAAAAAAAAAAATAAAAATTTGTTGTATACTCCGTATTATCTTTTTTTTGCATGCCTTACCTTTTTTATTTTTTATTATATTTTTCATTTTGACTTAGATATCACATATGAATTTATGTTGCTGAATTCAAAATCATTTGGGATTGGTGTTGGGGATGTTTATTTTGCTAGAGTAGTAGAGTGTTGCGGATGTTATTGTTCAAATATAGGGAAAAGGGATAAATAAGGCCACGTATTAACCAAAAAAGGTCAAATAAGGCCTTATTTTTTAGGCTCTGTCCGGCCTTCGCCATTTGGGGTGATTCTCGGTGGAATTTTTTGATGAATTTTTTTAACCATCTTATTCATTAAGTCTAGTTTACTCATACCAAATTTCAGCTAACAATTCAATCGGTAAGGCATTCAGATGAATTATATTCTTAAAGATAACTGCGCTTTTAACTGCATAGTTATTTTCAAGAATTCATTTGAATGTCTTCCAGATTGAAGTTTTAGTTAAAATTTGGTATGAGTAAACTAGACTTACTGAATAAGATGCTAAAAAAAATTCCATCGAGAACCATCCTAAACGGCGATGGCCGGACAGAGCCTCTTAAATAAGGCCTTATTTGCCCCTTTTCTGTCAAATATATAGAAGGGACTTGTTTTTAATTGCCTTTTTGGGTGGAAGTATTTTCCTTAAAAAGGACGTGTCAACCGTAGGCGGATTGCCTCACTGTGAGAGCTAGGGAGTAGGCCGTGGGAAGATAATTTCCCATAAATAAACATGTTTAATGGGAGACAATACGATGGTTGAGATGTAACAGAATTTAATTCATCCATAGTTTTTTATTGTAACATCAATTAATCCATCCATAGTTTTTTTAGGATAACAAATCTCCATAGTTTTACTCCATCAATCCGTCATAGATTTGCTAGTTTTCGAGACACAGTTTCAGGATTCGAGGAGTTTGAGTCATTCAGATATACTACAAGTTTCATTTTCTTTTTTCATTTTAAGTAACAGAAGTGTTTCAGTCCAACTGAATTGGCCAATTAGGGAGTGGATCTTAACTGCCACCAGCCCAGGTTTCCTGGGAATGCTCTTTGTTCTTAATTCAATCCTTCACTTCATTAAAAAATAGTAGTGGTGGAATTGAAGTTTGGAACCAGGAATTAATTCTTGGAGGGGCGTAATATATAATTAAAATATGGAGTCTAATACACAGAGTATCACGCAACTAATTCACTCAATGTAGTGTCATGGGCGGAACTAATTCACAAATGTTGAATCTGAATCGCTAGCTGAATGAAGTATACTCGTTTGACAGAAAGAGCTGAAAAAGTATTGAGATAATATGAAATTACATTAAAGGACATATGATTTACTAATAGAATAAAATATGTACTCCGTATTATAATGCTTTTTATATTTTCACCATTTTAATATATGTATGCTTGTGTATAAATATAATATTTGTGAGTTTATACACGTATATTCGTAGTATAATACGATAGTAATTGAATTGAGCATATGTTTACTGCAATTCACTATGTGTTTAATTATACTTTATTTAGAACACTTTAGGGCAATTCACTTCGCACCCATATCTTTCAAGCCTCAGGGGTATTATATTACATCTTCATTATGTTGTTGACGTTTTTCGAAAATTTTCCTCTTTGACACATAGAATATCTTCACGTTGAGGACTCTGTTCATAGCCAAGCATCTAATCTAACTGATAAATATTTTTTGAACTTTTCGCATAGGTACATCACGTCAAAGAAAAAACAGAGAGAGCAGACAATGAGAGTTGATAACTTGGAAATTGGGAGAATATATGAGTTTTATGAGAAGAGAATAGGTCTGAAGTAAAAAAAGACACATTCAAAGCTCTCCTCTTGATATCGATTGAGAAAAAATCTTTTAGGGAGATTGACGGAAGATGGAGGGATATGATGGGAAATGGAAGTCTGGAAAGAAGGGACCGAATACAAATGCTACACGGGTGAACGTTTGAGTTCAGTTCAATTACTTTAGTTCCAGCCTCCTTAAGCCTTTCAACCAAACAGATCTACTTTAATATAAATTGACTGAAATTAATAAATTCGAGCTCTTTTTGGCTGAAGTGGAGTGCCGAACACAACCAAAAGCTATTTCACAATTTTCATGTACTAGACCGATATATTGAATATACCATAATCGAAGGAAACATAAGGAACAAACTACGTATACACGTAACACGTATGTATATTATATTACAGAATGAAGTTCAATTGCTAATATAAAATAGTATGAGCATTAAAGAATAAGGAGCCCGACTGCCCATATATAAGGAATCAAATTAACTATGTCACGCAAATTATGATGTTTTCTTTTGGATTGATTTCAGTCCCAGACCTAACCAGATCAGACCAGACTTAGGCTATGTTTGACATGGCATTTCAGCTCAAAATGAGCTGAAATTTCTGAAATTCAGTTCATTATTGTACAAATAGCATCGTTTGGACAAAGGGCTTAACAAAGCTTTGGCTGAAATAAAGCATCTGAATTAAAACGCTATGATAAGTCTATTCAACCTTCCGCCCAACAACTTGCAATCCCTATATTATCCCTCTGTTTTGCCAATTTCTTCTGATCTAGTGTCCTCCATGCAATTATAACGCAGCCCAAAACACATCATCACCATACGTATCTCCTTCGATGGTTCTACTTCACTGCAAATTTCTTCTTTTAAAGTGTGAATTTTTTTACCCAAGAGAAAAAGTAATCACATCACGTTTGACGGAGTGCTTGAATACTCAGTATAAAATTTCTTGATGCTTTTATGACACGAGAAATCCTCTTGTTTGTGGTATGATTTAATTCAATATTTTATACTAATTTGATGATATTCATCATATGTAACCGTTCAAAAAAAAATCTACAGTGTGTGCCTAACTTGGTTTTTAGATTAATGATGTGTGTGTACATACGGAGTATTTATTAGTAATTTATTTATTTTATTTAATCATATGTATATTCTGATAAATGTTTTATTATATTACTCAGCTCCAAAAAATAAATTGTATTCCCTTTAATGTAATTTCATATGATTCGAGCACCACTCCAGCTCTTTTGCCAAACGGGTCTACTTTATTCAGTTAGCACTTCAGATTCAGCACTTCAAAATTCAGCTCCAGACAATAGTCCCCCATTCAGACAATAGCCTGTAATTCAGACATTAGACACCAGCTCCATCTTGTTTTGTCAAACATATATAGCCTTAAACAGACCAGACCAGATCAGACCAGACCAGACTTGGATAGTTATAAAATATAATACACAGAGACCAGACGTTTACTAGACCAGACCAGACAAGCTAGTTCAGACCAGAACAGACCAGACTTAAACAGACCATACCAGACCAGACTAGACCAGCAAATTTCAGTCCAAAAGAAAACATCCTTAATACCTACATTTATAAGATTATAAGATCAAAAGTCAAAACTCTATACTTTACACTTCAAATAAAATACTCTGTAAGAAATAAAGGGATGAAATGAAATATGGTGCTTTTTTTATAGGGGAGTTTTAGTGAGATAATTCTCTTTTATGAATGGAAAGGAACAATTTTGTGATTTTGGGAGTTTCAACAAATTTAAAAGTAAACATCATATGAAATCTTTTATGAAATATTTCTATTATCTAAAACGAGATTCAATGTTCTTACAAAATCTTACGTTTTTGTTGATGGGCATGACCCCCAACTCCTAGGCCTCTATTATGGTCATCCACTGTCCGAAAACTTTAGCGTGTAATTTTTACAATTGCAAATTCTCAATTCTTTTCGAATAGAAGTTAAGCTTTTCACTTCTCTTTTGGACATCACAACCTCAGTTTCCCATTTACATTTAAGAATAAAACGTAACTAACACTCATATATATATATATAGTTATTATATATTATAATCACCAAATATTACAAATAATAATGCACATATAACATCATAGTTATTATCAATATATAAACTCATCCTAATATATATATATAGTCATATCAAAACTACTTAGCAAAGTAAACTAAAAAAAACTTCTTTAATTATTGTTTGAATAGCTGGTTTTAGTGATAACCTTAACCGGTTTTAGTTATTTCGATCTCATTGGGCAGTATAATTCTACTGAATGGGCAGGATGAACTTGAATGTGATGTTTTGAAATGCTAATCCCAAGTCATTAGAGATGATAGTGGGCAGCTTCAGATCGATCTGTGTGCTAATTCGGGTGACAAATGCATTAATCATCGTTATACACGATGTTAGACATACAATCATGATATTAACTTTTTTTTTGTCTTCAATGTTATACATCTCAAACTAGAATGAATGAATGAATGATGGATCTTTTAATTTCGATCATGACGAGGATTCAATTCCGTGCTTATGAGAGGAGTCCAAAAATGAACGATTATACAAAAGTCAAATATTCAAATACAATGATCGACCCATTATTAAAGCTAGAGAAAACGAATTCAATGTTTTGCCGAAGGAACAATGCCATTGGGTCAACATAAAGGAGTTTTTTCACTTTTAGTCTTTCGAATATTATGTCATTGACATTTTTTATATTCGATTTTGATTTTTTCCACTTTTAATCATTGACTATTGTGTTAGAGATGCTTTTGGTACCCGTCTTCAAAAAATTTCATATTTAGTCCTCCGACTTTCATAAAAACAACATTTTTCGTCCACCAACTATTATAATAATAATATTTTTAGTCCTCCATTTATTTGTCAAAATCATAGTGAAAGAATTAAAAGCGTCAATTTGAAAAAATTCAGGGACTAAATGTGAGAAATTTTGAAGTTGAAGACTAAAACTGTCTCTAGCACAATAGTCAAGGACTAAATTTGGAAAAATTAAAAGTTGATTACCAAAATTGTCAAAGACGCATAAAGTTTGAAGGAGTTTTTAGGATTGATATTTTATCATAAATTCTATGACTCTTTAATGTTCTTATACAAATCTATGAAATTCATGAGAATCGGAGGAGAAGTAGCTGGATTTTGATAAAACGTATGTAGTATTGT